AAAAAAAAAAAAACAAAAAAAAAACATCTAAGATACTTCAAGTTTGCATATACATCATATTTGAGTAGTTTTGTGACTAGCATCTGGATGTTTTTTCTTTCCCCGGAAGTTCTTATACTTAAGTTTTTAAATATATGCCAAACTTCTGGCCTCGAGCAATCCTCCCACCTCAGCCTCTCAAAGTGCTAGGATTATAATAAGCATGAGCCACTATACCTTGCCTATGTCAATTATTTCTTCTTTTCTTTTTTTTTTGGCCGGAGCTGGGTTTGAACTGCCACCTCCAGCATATGGGGCTGGTGCCCTACCCTTTTGAGCCACAGGTGCTGCCCTATGTCAATTATTTCTAAGAGAAAATATGCTCCAAGTTAAAAATAAGTGCTAAGCACTGTGCTAACTTCCCTTATAAGTCAAATATAAAGTTGGAAAAATGACTCCTCTCTTAACCTCAATCTCTTCATTTTGCAAATTAATACCTGGGGCTATGAGAATTAAGAAAGATAACCAACATAGAATCTATTAGTGTCTAATATATATAGTAAGTACTCAAAATGTTTCCTCTCAATCCAGGAGCATTTAGATAACTTCTAGTCCTACATAACAAAACTTTCTGCCAGTGTTCTGGGCAATATGTCATTCTTGTGCTTCTTTGCTAATGGAGCTATGTTAGTTCTATTATACAACCCCTCCACCCTCCCTTTCAGTGCTGGTCGAAATAACATTCACATCCTCCCAATCTACTCCATGCAGAGCTCTTTCTCTTTTCATTTCCAAGAATGTCCTTCTCTCCTCCACAAAGTCAGTCCATTCACTAAACATATTTTAGATACCAGATATAGCAGCTGACATAGCACCTGCCCACAATAAGCTGTTTAGTGAAGGGGAGGCTTGATGCAAACAATTTCACTAATAATAGTAGAAGCAGTGACCACTATTTGAGCATTCCTTTATGCTATCCATTTGCATGCACTACTTTAACAAATCTTCACTCTAGCCCATGAGCCATGTGGGGTTTATTTCTCTTCTCTCCTTTTTTTTTTAAAGACAGAGTTTCGCTCTGTTACACAGACTGGCCTCAAATGATCCTCCCATCTCAACCTCCCAAGTAGCTAAGTGTGCACTGCAGCACAGGGCTTTCTTTCTTTCTTTTTTTAAATGCTTAGTGGTTATGGTGTCGGAGAAGTCAAATAAGCATACTCAAATTTAAAGGATTAGTTGTACAACCCAGATTCAAATCCTGGTTTGTTTGGTTTTTCCCTTCTTTCTACCTTAATAGCTATGGGAGTAGATCAAATCCTGGTCTCGCTACAGTCTAAGGTCTTAACCATCATACCATACTATCCCAAGGCAAAGAAGGGAGCACCCAATTCTATGTACCAATCAGGAAGTTTTGCTAGGCACCTATAGCTCAAGCAGCTAAGGGGCCAGCCACATACACAAGAGATGGTGGGTTCAAATCCTGCCAAACAACAATGACAACTACAATCAAAAAATAGACAGGCATTGTGTTGGGCACCTATAGTCCCAGCTACTTGGGAGGCTGAGGCAAGAGACTCTTAAGCCCAGGACTTAGAGGTTGCTGTGAGCTGTACGCCATGGCACTCTACCCAGGGTGACAGCTTGAGGCTTGTCTCAAAAAAAAAAAAAGAATCAGTAAGTTTACTCAATATAATAATACCTGAATCGAATGTTGAAGGATCACTCTTTCACTCAATACGAATTCCTAAAATGAACTTTAGGAATAGAGTAGGAAGCAACACAGGAGATCACAACTCACAGGATAAAAGGGAAGTAGTGAACAGGTAATTACATCTATCTACTCTTCAAGCCTTCCTTTAACCTGCCATTGGGGCGCCGGTAGCACAGTGGTTACAGTGTCAGACACTTATGGTTCGAATCCAGAGGCTGGTGGGTTCGAACTCAGCCTAGGCCAGCTAAGCAACAATGACAAGGCAAAAGAAAAAAATAGCCAGGTGTTGTGGCAGGTGCCTGTAGTCCTGGCTACTTGGGAAGCTAAGGCAAGAGAATCGCTTAAGCCCAAGAGTTTGAGGTTGCTGTGAGCTGTGACACCACAGCACTCTACTAAAGGTTTCATAGTGAGATTCTGTCTCAAAAAAACAAAACAAAACAAAAAATCTGCCATTGGAAGAAATTTATCCCTCTTTCGAACTCCCATAGCACTTTATTTTAAATGTTTCTTTCAGAAAATACTTTCCCCTTTTCTTCATGTTATTTTTTTCAATTATCAATGATATGTTCATTATCAAAGATGTTGCTTACAACCTTCTGCCTTGTATTACTATTATCTGAACACTTACCTCCTGCCTAGAATGTGAGCATCTTAAGCATAGCATGTCAGATTTATCTTATACTTTAAGTTGAATGAGTGAAAAAAAGAAAGAAATTCAGTTTTGCAGACAATGTAAGGAAAACAAAATGTTTCCCTTTAGCTGAGAAAAACTGGCTCATGCCTATAATCCCAGCAATTTGGGAAGCCAACTGGAAGGATAGCTTGAGGCCAGGATTGGAAACCAACCTTAATATGGTGAGATCGGCTCGGCGCCTATAGCTGGACCGGCTAAGGCGCCAGCCACGTACACCTAAGGTGGCAGGTTCGAATCCCCAGCCCGGACCCGCCAAACAACAATGATGACTGCAACCAAAAAATAGCCGGGGGTTGTGGCAGGCGCCTGTGGTCCCAGCTACTTGGGAGGCGGAGGCAGGAGACTTGCTTGAGCCCAGGAGTCGGAGGTTGCTGTGAGCTATAATGCCACGGCACTCTGCCCAGGGGGATAGCTTGAGGCTCTGTCTCCAAAAAAAAAAAAAAAAAAAATATATATGGTGGGATCCATTCTATAAGGAAAAAAAAAATCAACTAGGTGCAACGGGGTGAGCCCTATAGTCCCAGATACTTAGACAGTTGAGCCAGAAGGCTGGCTGGAGCCCAGGAGTTTGCAGTTATAGCAAGCTATAACCACAGCACTCCAGCCTCAAGACAGAACAAAACTGCCTCTATTTAAAAAAAAAAGGGTTTGACACAGGATCATACAAAAACTTAGAATTTCAGGTTGGAAAGGCAGAAATAAATTCCTGAATACCATAACAGAATACCAGCGTACCTCTTTCATGTATTATTAATAGGCTTCCATTTTAAACAAGCCTTAGATCATTCTGATAGCCTGCCAACTTTATCTAAATGGGAATCTGCGCATATCTGGTACATCTGTAGAAGATCACGTCTGGCTTTTGGTTTCTTCTGTGTTCCCTGTCCTCCACAGTGGCCAATAATCAGAAGCTGCCAGGATAAATCACTCCAGGGAGGCGTCCCACAAGTTAAAGGATTACCTTTGTTTGTTTCAGGTTCATCAAGTATCACAAAGGAATCTTCATCAGCACCCAGCCGAGGTTTTATGGAAACATCTACTCCCAGTTGCTTCAGTCTGTCCAGAGTAAACCTTCTCCCTTTCTCGGGTGGCACAGCTGCTAATGATTTACTCTGCTGCCTGGACTCCTCCACTTTCTCATTCATTTCTTCTGTTTTTTCCAGGCCATCTTCACCCTCCAGGGCATGAGGTTCAGATGCCACAAGTCCTCCAGCCTGGCACTCCTCACTGTGCTTGTTCCCGAAGCTGGATTCCTGCAGCAGTACTGAGCTGTCGCCAGGGGAAGGTCCAGCCTCACTCTGCTTCTGTTTCTCCTGAAGTTCTAGCTCTTCACTTCTCACCAAATCCTTACCACAAGACTCACCTGATCCAGTACTGACCTGGGGTTCCTTTGAATCCCCAGGGAGTGCATTAATTTCCACTTCATTTTCTGTACCTATTGTCTGTTCAGAACCTTTGCTATGATCACTGTTCACTTCAGTCATACTTGCCGTGTCTATGATTTCTTTGTGATGGCTTGACTGATATTTAGATGACCTACAGAAGAGAAAATGAGCTGGAGTTGAAAATTATCCTAAGTGCAAAACATTCTCATCCGTTAGCACACAGTAAATCAGTTAAATCAGTTGTAAGGGAGAAATCTGAACCTTTTACCCCAGAAGTTAGCTACAAAACAGAATGTTCATGAAAATTATAATTATCAGAAAAAAGGGCTCTTACTTTAGCAGTGCCATGGCATTTCCCTGACAAGTGGGCCGGGGCTTACGTTTGAAGAAATCATGAATGGTTTTATTCTCAGGCATATGGTATGGAAGATTAAGTGCAGACTCTATAAAATGGAACAAAACAAGCAAATATGTACACTGTACATTCTGTAATGTCACTTCATGTTTAGTTAACCAAACAGCACAGCCAAAGCTATCACTAGAAATAAAAAACAGTCCTGCTTTAAAAAAGGCAGGAACAAAGTACAAGAGAGATCCCCAAAGACCAGTGGTTTTTAAACCTACTTATGAAATCAAAATTATCCAGGAAGTTTTTTAGAGATACAGATTCTTGGATCCCATTTTAAACCCACTGATTACAGTGAGTTATGATCATGCCACTGCACTCCAGCCTGGGTAACAAGACGACCTTTTCTTTTATAAATAAAACAAAGCAACCTAATGAATCAGAATCTCTGTGGGGCCTGAAAATTTATAGATGTCATTCCGTCCTTATCCATAGGACACATTCCAAGACCTGCAATGGATACCTGAAACCACAGATACTACGAACCCTATGTGTACTATGTTTTTTATCTGATAATTGAGGGCTATTAACTAACAGGCAGGTTAGCACATATAGCATGATTCGTTGGACAAAGGGATGATACACATCCTAGGCAGGATGGCTTGAGATTTCATCACGCTACTCAGTACGGCATGTAATTTAAAACTTACAAATTGTTTATTTTCTGGAATTTTCCATTTAATATTCTTTTACTATGGTTGACCATAGGTAACTGAAACCACAGATAAGCAGAGACGAAGACTACTGTATCTGAACACCTCTCAAAGGAATCCAGATGCAATCAGTTCACAGACAACCATTAAAAACTTCTTGGCTCGGCGCCTGTAGCTCAACCGGCTAAGGCGCCAGCCACATACACCTAAGGTGGAGGGTTCGAATCCAGCCTGGACCCGCCAAACAACAATGACGGCTGCAACCCAAAACTAGCCGGGTGTTGTGGCAGGCGCCTGTGGTCCCAGCTACTTGGGAGGCGGAGGCAGGAGACTCGCTTGAGCCTAGGAGTTGGAGGTTGCTGTGAGCTGTGATGCCATGGCACTCTACCCAGGGGGACAGCTTGAGGCTCTGTCTCAAAAAAAAAAAAAAACCTTCCTCTTTACCTCCCTACAGTTCTGAAAATTTCCTTGATTTATACTAATGTTCCAAGGCTTTAGAATAATGGCCATTCACCAAGATCAATGCTAAACTTGATATAATCTGAGGAGTGTTAAAAAAACAAAATTCCTCAACATCCAAGTTGAGCTTAACAAAGAAACCTTGTGATCTGCCATAAACTTTACCGTACTGGTTTGCGTTACCTCGGATAAGGCGCTGAGTCTCACTATGCAGTTTTTTAAGCTCTTCCTTGCTTAACTTGGCTGCCTTTCTTTCCTTAAAGAAAATAAAAAAGTGTGACTACATTAATGGTAATATCCAGAAAGATAGATACTCATCCCTCAAGAGTTCCCTCCAAGAAAAAAAAGGAGAGGGAATAATAAGTACTAATAAACTCAATACAGTAAAAACTCAAGGCACTTATTTATGTCTAAGTCTCAGAGAATTAATTCAATCCAATCTATATTTGTGGTCCTACTATGTACAAAGCAATGTGTTTGGTACCAGGAAAATATGATAGACAAGGTAAAATATTTATTTCTGAGAAACCCATGATCTCCTATGGAAAGGGTTCAGTGTGACTAATATACAGGATTCTACCTCACCTTCTTAACAGTGGCTTTTGATAACTCACTTTCTTCTTCAAATGAATAGATCCCACTCTCCAAAGATAGTTCCTTTTTCTAAAAGAGATTATAAATTGATTATTAGAACAAACATTAAACTGAAATTAGAGATGTTTCTTAGTTGAAGACTACTTTTGTACTTCAACAGCACAGCCGGCTACATTCATAATAAATCAATAATTATCAAACAGAAAATGTCAAACACACAGCACCCTAGTATGCTTAGAAAACAAATCAGATATTTCAAATGGAGCTTGGACCCTCATTTCTTACACCTCTGCTTACATTCTTTCTAAAGAGAGGCGACAACTCCTAGGGAGCTAAGGAAATCTTAGGAAGAATAATCGTGCTTCTGAACACGTTTTGACGGAAGCCTCTCTTTGATACCTTTCCTGAAAGCCTATAGAATTCATCTGTCATTTACAATCTTGTTTCATTATTTATCCCTTCCCTTCTTACCACACCATAAAGTACCTTACTTTCTTTTTTTTATCAACATTCCTAAAAGGGCAATAACAAAGCACAAGGTTCCAAAGAAGTTAGCATGTCTATCACTTGTAAGGCAAGTTTCCAAAATTAACAGCTGAAAAACTTAAATCAATTGACACATTTTTCTTCAGTGGAAAAAAAAAAATTAAAGTTGCAACAGTAAATCAAAAACTAAAGCAAAGGTCAGAAGCAGCTGGTTAGCTCTTATTGCCATCATGCTTTACTTGCCTTGTGCTTTTTAACTTTGTTTTTCATGGCTGCCCTTATGGATTCTAATGACTCTTCATCTTCCAATGAAGAGTGAGTCTCCTCCTCCAACCCAGTTTCAAAAAGGTCTTTATCCATAAGAAGACAGCCACTGTCGTTAAATGGCTGTTCCACGACATCTTCCTGTATAATGCACAAATAAAAATCATAATCTAATCATTTTAAAATCCAACATTTCACAACATCATATGACAATTTGAATCAGGCCAGAAAAAGCCCAGGCTTCATTAACAGCCAAGTATATAGCATCTAGAACATTCTCACTGGTTGCAAACTCCCAGTTATCTTTTGCAGTCCAAGCTGTGATGTTATGCAACTGTCCGAAATTAACCTAACAGTAATGTTTTTCTTTGAAAAGTCAAGTAAATACTTATGAAGCAGCTAACTAGTTTATAAAATCTGAGGATGGGGCTCGGCATCTCAAGCAGCTAAGGCACCAGCCACATACACCTGAGCTGGTGGGTTTGAATCCAGCCCGAGCCCACCAAACAACAATGATGGCTGCAACCAAAAAACAGCCAGATGTTGTGGCAGGTGCCTATAGTCCCAGCTACTTGGGAGGCAGAGGCAGGAGAATTGCTTGAGCCCCGGAGTTGGAGGTTGCTGTGAGCTGTGATGCCATGGCACTCTACCCATGGCAATAGCTTGGGGCTCTGTCTCAAAAAAAAAAAAAATCTGAGGATGTTTTTTCTAGTTCGCAAATAAGATTTCTAACTGATGGACACATAAAAAATCCTTTCAAAGTTAACTTTCATCACATCTGAAACAACAAAAAGTTACTCTATGTGCTCACAAAAAAATCAGAAACCCATTTATTTGGACATGTCCTCTGAAGATCGAAAATAGAGAATTTGTTTTGTTCTGGAGACAAAGTCTCACTTTGTTGCCCTTGGTAGAGTGCCACGGCATCATAGCTTACAGCAAAGTCAAACTCTTGGGCTCACGTGATTCTCTTGCCTCAGCCTCCCGAGTAGCTGGGACTACAGGCAAGACTGTAAGTTTTAGATCACATACCCCATTACTCTCAATGCAAAAGAGTCAATTCAAAATGATACTGACCACAGAAAGAAGCTGAGTACTTAAAGCAGCTTTTTCTAAAATGTTAATGTACTTGAGCAATAGAAAATTATTCTTTAAAAATGTACCACCTTTTTTGTTTCCTTCTTTTTTAGCCGCCTAATTTTTTCCATTTTTCTCTCCTCCTTCTCAAGTCTTCTCTTTGATTTCACTTTTGCTTTTCCTCCAGTTCCTTCTTGATCAGGGATGGGTTTTTTGGAACTCTTTCTGTTAGGAGTAAAGTCTAGAGAGTTTCCAGATTGGAGACTCAGCTCTGAGCAAGGTGTCAAGTGGGTTTCAAGATTTTCTTGATACAAAGACTTCTCTATGTCACTTTCATCACTGCCTGCCGGAGTTTTGTAAATCCTTTTCATCTTTGCTTTTTTCCCAGCATATAAGTTCTCTTTATTTTCCTCCTCAGCACTGTCATAGGTAGTTTTCTCTGGAGAGGCATGTATGTCATCTATTTCAAAATCACTGTCTTGTAGTGCCTTCCTGGTTTTCAATTTCTTACTTACAAATATCTCTTCATCTGAATCTGGAAAAAAAACATAATTTTCTTTTATAAAAAGTATATAATCGGCTCAGCACCTGTGGCTCAAGTGGCTAAGGCACCAGCTACATACACCTAAGGTGGCAGGTTCGCATCCAGCCCGGGCCCACCAAACAACAATAACGGCTGCAACCAAAAAATAGCTGGG